AGAGGGAGACTTAAGGGGGGCAGTGTATAGACAAGGGTGAGGTGACAATTGACTGCTCAGTGTCTCTTGTCCTTATATTGTATGTATTCTAACTGAGACATTATGAAGTCATTGTCTCATGGTTTGTCTGTTGATGAACTAATCATCTCATAATAAGAAGGTTAGTGCCTCTGCCTACAAACTCCAACTTCTGACAACATGGAAGTGTATACACCCAGTGTTTAACAAGGTTCTACTGTCTTGATACTATGATCCAGGTTTTCCTTTACAACAAAGACCCCTACTGCCTTCACCAGAACTCATCAGTTCCAAACCAGAATACAAAGTAGAGTATGTAGCAGATGCTAAGCTAGTGTGTAGGAAGCTCAAGTTCCTTATTTACTGGAAGGGATACCCAGTTGAAGAACACACTTGGGAACCTACTGAGAATCTCACCCATACTACTAAGACAATCTGAGACTTCTATTGACTTCATCCAGGTACTCTGTATCAACTCTGCCTTACAGATTTCCAAACCCTACCATTCCAACCTATGCCTGAGCTACTAACCAAGCCTAATGCTCACCAATCAGGACAATTGGTTTTAGAGGGGGGGTGATGTTACAGTTCTCTACTCTTGTACCTTCAGTTCTGAGGGTTCTGCACCCTTCTGTACTAGAACTCAGGACTTCTGTCCCTCAGAGGTACTGTCTATGGACTATATGTGTGCTGACTCTTGCTACTACCCTTCCTTACTTTATCATTCCATTCCTTTGACCACCCCTTCATTCTTTGTATCATTCTATGGTCTCTTACTCTTTGTCCATCCCTTCATTCTTTGTACCTTTATCTTTGACATTCCTTTCTTTCATTCTTTGTGGCTCATCATTCTTAGTAGCTCATGCTCCCTGAGTACTCTTGTGTAGTTTAGTATATATAGGCATACAAGATCAGACTGGTCCTGTAGTCTTGATCTCATCTACTCTAGGTAGTCCTGTACTCTTAGGCTCACTCTATATACTCTACTCTTGTCTCACTCTCTCTCTCTGCCTGCTCTGTAAGTTCTGACAATGTTCCAGTGCTTGTGTTCTGTATTTCTGTTGTGTAGGATAGTTGTAGCCTGGGTCCCCTCACTGAGCCTTCGGGTCCCCTCTATACTGTTGCTGACACCCCCCCCCCTCTTGTAGTCTCAGAATTATTGGAAAAACCCTCAGAGTCCATGCCTTTAGCATTCTGTCTTTCCTCTAATGATTTGTGTGTGTAACAGGCAGATAAGACAGTTTAATTTAGTGCCTTTACATGTCAGAAAGTGTACCTTATATATCCAAAAAGAGATTCTGATATAGATGCAATTCAACAAACACTGCATACTGAGAAATTTATGCAAAAGTCTCACCTTCTCTGTGAATAAAAATGAAGGAGTACCTAACAAGTCACTGCAATCAGCACTCATCCGCCTGAGACCTGGAATAGCTGAGAGAAGCGAAGACAGGACCCCTCATCTCAATCCCGGAAGAGCTATTAAGCTGAAACGTAGACTTGAGGTGTAACTTGTGGATCCTAAAGTGCATGTGGGAGCACAGAATATTGACCAATACACTTTCTGGTCTGATGACGCCATCGACTATTAGCTTGGTACAAACCGTAGAGTACTGACAAAGAAAAACAAACACTAAGAATGCATTGCTGAGTGTTGGCTGAACAGAGTGAATTAGTGTTTGACTCCAAATTGTGACCAACAAGAATTGGCTCACTGATGCAGTTACAATCAGGGCAAGATTTGCAACTGTTGATACTGGAAGAGATGGTCAGACCTTCTTGATAGTTAAAAAACTGTAATGTAATACTTACATGTGATAATACTGAAGTACATGATTCCTACAAACCACTGTTATTACAGGATAAATTGCATTATCATTCCGGCTCCATACCATCTTGATGTAAATTGTGCATGATAGGTGAACTTGTGTAACGGGCTGTAGTGGTATTTAAGTGGGAGCACCGGGTACATGAAAGAACAAACACCTACATCCCATCAATGTCTTGGAAAGTAGGAGAGCAAGCGCAACTTCCAAATTAAACAATATAAAGGTCAGTATGATATGTATGATATTCAAATGCGTCCACGTTACAGTAACTCACCAAACTCGCAGAGCGAATAACAAAGGAGCGCTATCCATACTTTCCTGTCATCATGAAAGTACAGGCAACCAGACATGAAATATATAGGCAAAACTACGCAATTAATAAGAAATTCAGAGAACGAAATGCACTTGAACGAGCTATCAGACTTACCAGAGTTCATTTTAACATGCTTTACAGAGAAGTATAATATTACGGAAGTCGAACACTCCGGGAAAGTCAGTCATAGAAAGATGCAATAAGACTTTTACACACCAGGTAGAGGGTAGCTATAAGAATGCGGACGATTCGCTTATGGCCCCATACCGCATCGACACGAAGGAAGACAGTGACTAGGAAAATAATTAAATAGGCATTTCGACGCAAACTCTAGACTTACATTCGGCAATGAGCATACCGATCACAGTCATGACTAAACCGGTACTTGCTCAGCTTTTGAAATGAGAAGTCAAACGTGGAAACAAGAACATACAGACTAGAGATCCAAAACCAGTGCTGCAACCCTTCAAGAAAGTTCAACGCGATAATCCTGAAAATCCGCGTTACAGGCATACCTTCAAATCATCGTTTAATACGACGTCTTATATCACCACTTCTTAGCAAACAAAACCTTTTTACACGAGAAAAAGAGCGAGGCTCACAGTACAAGGACAGAAGCGAAGTTGTGAACGGGACGTAGCGGTTAAGAAAAAAGTGTACATGGCGCAAATCAAGGTTGTTCGTCCAAACTAATTGTATCTAAAATAAAGATTATGAGATAAGGCATTTGATACCACACTCGTACTAACCTCGTCATCCAAGCTAATTAAGTAATCATACGCCTTCCATGACATTTAGACCAAGAAATTCCAAAGGCGATTTACCTACCTGAAATGCAACTGTAGCAACTGAGGTGCACACGTATCAGTAAGTTCTATCGATATCAGCTGATCACGAACCAACTAGATACTGGAAGATAGAGGATAAGAATCATGGAAGACGATGGGTTCGAATATCACTCACCCGGGCACTGACAGCGTCGCTAGCACCAGCAATGAGCCCATCCATCCGCGCGATGATGTTGGGCAGAGTCGAGAGTATCGTTTCAATCAGTGCGAAGGGATGCAAACTATAAGGACAGCCCGAATATGATATTAAAAGTTAATGGATGTTGATCGTTTGATTGCATCTACTGCGCTATAGCCTCCAGTGATGTTCATTTGATATATCTTGCTTTTTCTTCACAGCGTTTAATGGAACGGTCAAATTGCGAGGGGGCGGGAGATCGGTGGCCTCGGGCGATAGTTCATTCCTGAAAGACATCCCGTTTTTAGCAGTTCTACATGAACATCATTCTATTATTATTCAACGAATCATGGACAACAAGTCTCACCTGAGACGAGTGATGGTACAGCATATTTGTGAACAGTGTTAACTGTAATGGGATGATTGATTAGTTCATTCATTCATCTGGATTCTACTCACCAAGGGGAAGAGCTCGACCATATCCATTTTGCGGTCTTGTGGCCCGAGTTGCTAGATCAAAGATCAAATACATCGAAATGGCCGTGGTTCCTCCGGCATCTTGAAGTAAAGCTCGAGTACAAAAATGGAGTCAAGCGTTTGTTTTTGCAATAAATTGATAGCTGATTTGGTGACTTGACTAATTTGATCTACGAAAAGTCCTGAGCAAGAAATGAACGAGCCTGCTGCTACTATACGATGGCTTGTTACGTTGCAGGACGCAAATGAAATCAAATACACTTAACGGATGCAGAATTGAGTGTCTCATAGCACGTGATTAGAGTAGATCGTATTACTTAATATTAAAATAATGGACAACAAATTGGGGGCGCGACGTATCTAGGTCATCGCGCTACTTTTTTCACATCTTCGCTCCCCTCAATTCCACGGTTTTGTGCTAGAGCAGGTCGAGATGGCATCAAGCATGAATAGTTACCAACGGCGTCAAGGATAGTAGTCAGTGACGGGCGACGGTTTCGGCTGCGCAATAGAACACTGAACAGAACGATTGAGTGGCAGGAAAGATTTTCCTGCAAGGCTGGTCCTGAGTTTGCTGGGTGCCCCGGAAAGTTAACGTGTACACTTCCGCTCAGGCATTTACTTAAGTTCAAACCAGAAGACACCGCATCTCGCAATATTAATAGAAGAAGATCTGCAAAGTGCCAGCAGTTGACTCGGTTGAGAGGTAAATTGTGCTTCCGAGGTGAGCCCAAGCTCCAGAAATCAGCTTCTCAATGTTCGTATGCTGATGGTTCTTCCAAGTCATATGTCAACTATCTCCAGATGAAACCAAGAAAGAAGCAGTCTTATTTTGTACATGAAATTCCGAGCTAGATTTACATGGTGTGAATTTTCGGGACAACTGCAAAATTGAGCCTGGGTACATATGCAGCACGTTCAGCCTTGAAAATATTGTCTGCAGTTGTTCCGCATCGCTTCTCTGGTTTTGCCAGTGACAAGCACTACTTTTTGAACAAGGTGTAGACAACAGGACATAGTCAGCGAATAGTCGTTTTGTTCCGGATCGTACGACGTGTGGGTATGCGCGCTTCTTCGTACGATTTGATGCGTCGCATGCCACCGCCTCCTATACCATTCCCCAATCAGCCTTGCCAGTGATCCTGTCCAACTTACTCCTGTGCTGGCTGTATTAGTCTCAGCAGTACACAAGTGCTGTCCTGTAGTGTATCTCTTCTCTGTCTCATTACACAGTCTCGCCTCATGGAAGCCTCCACGGTAGCAGAAGTGAGTCAACTCGTCGATGTTTGGTATATGACGTGTAAGCAGATGCTTTCCCCGTTAATATATCCTCGACTGTGCTGACTCCATCCAGTTGCGGGTCTGACTGTCCTGGCATACGATATCTTGCTGAATTTCAGTGACCAGTTCTCCACCATTTGGAATCCGCCAAAACGCAATTTATGGAATTTTGTCTTTGCATTTTACCGTTATAATGCTGTATTGGGCGGAGCATTTTTTCTCTCGTGTATGTCCAGTTCCGTCACGCATATTGCCTAGTGTTTACACCGTGAACTGATTCTCCAGTCATGGTTCCGTCTTTGGGTGGCTCGGACGAATGGGTAAGAAGCTTCTTTCTCCAATTGACTTTGTCTGACTGAATCCAGTAAGGTGCTATCGCATTTACTCTCCATTTCTGCCTATACAGTTTGGTCATTCAGATGTAGCCGAACTGGAATGGCGTCTGTCTCTCTGAGTGCTTTAGTAGAGACTGTAGGAAATGGTGTGTATGCGCCATAACTGTTTTGGCCAATAGTTTAATCGTGGCACCGTATTCTACAGCCATTGTACTCAACGAGCTTGTGAAGCTCTGGGAGTGCAGCAGATATCTCTCAAGAATGATGATTGCCGGCTTCATGCTTGTGCACACCAGCACTCTTGTTGTGTCGGTCTTCTCAATTATGCAATTGAAAGGTAGTGTGGTCTGACGTGTCGCGCGTTTAATTGGACCTTGACATGTCATTCGAAGGCATATTCCACATTTTGCACGTGGACCACTTTCACATGTGCGTATCTGACGTGGTTCCTATGGCATTCAAGGCGATTTTCGTTCCATCAGTAGGTCTTACTGTGTACTGTCGCAAATCTCTTATTACTCAGAACCATTTGCATAATAGGTCGTTCTTCAGATATATTGGAGCACGTTGTTACTCCTCAATACCTTATCACGACCTCGTTCATCCTCGCAGAAGCTGTTTGACATGCTCCGGGTGGATGGACTTTTATTCTTTTTTGTGAGTCCATTTTTGACAGTTTCGCTTTTTTAACTTGTCCTCATTGCTACTCCGTAGTCGACGTTCAGTGCGTTTTTCCGCCGCGCTCTCAGATTTAATTTAAAATCCTTAGACGAAATCAAATTTCCAGGCCTTCGCATCTTGACTCTGGTTATCACCGTCGCTTCTCCAGTAAGCATCAATATAGTCTATTTGGAATGGCATTGTCTAAAGCCTAGTAATTTAGAGGCCCATTGCTGTTCTGAGTGTTGTGTAAGTGTTTTACTGATCCAAGCATAATATCGACACTAACTTTCCACCGACAGCATGCCGATCTTGCTCGTCAACGCTGTAATCTGCCGCCTCTATATTTGGCTTAACAGTGCAGATGGACTGCTCCTTAAAAGCAGGATTAGTACGTTTGGAAGAGAGAAATACGAATGGTACGGCGAGCAAGAGTTGGAACTGAGAAGACTGTCGATTTAGTAGTAGTTCTCTGAATGTCAAGTTCGTTGTTATCCAACGATGAATAAGTACGTGCTCTGAATTCGGCTCAAACGAATTGTGCACTTGCTGTAATACTGAGAGCACAAATTAATTCTGCTTTGCTAGATAAGTGAAGAACTGCAAGTAGGACCTAGAAGCAGTCACGTTGCCTAATAGTTTTTCTCAGATCTTGTAAGACGAATCAAAGTAACTCTATTTTGCACAACATGGAGCTTTTCATGTGGCCTCACTCATGACGACTGGTATCGACGCTTGTCTCCTCAAATGCGTACTTCAAGAGGACAACCACAGATTATAAGTGAATAGTTGGAAGTAAAAGGTAAATAAGAGACCTTCGGAACGGACTTAGTTGCTGGGTAGCAGACAAACAGATAGATGAGCAGACGTCCTTAAAAGCAAAGCACGTTGAATGTCAAATGGCTGATGATGAACCAGTACTCTGCCTAGACATACATACGTTGCATCCATGTGCACCATCAGACTGGTCTTTGCAGCATAAACGAGATGCAACTTATTAGGAGGATAAGAACAGACGGAGCCATACAAGCACATTGCATAAAGATACTACAAATAACCTTACCATTAGCTCAAGTTAGCCTTCATTTGCATTATATCTAGGTTTCTCAGGCACAATTCGCCACAGACTAGTGTTTGGTGGACACCTATCAGAATGCCACTAAATTGAACTATTATAGGTCAGAATTGTAGACACAATGTGGCGAGAAGTGGACGCCTAATTGTATTACCAGTAGGCCAAGACAAGAAGCTTTTGACATTTCTCCTTTTGTTCAAGCTAACTACCTAAAGCAAAGTAGTAGTACTTAAGCGCAGAGAAAACACAGGGCTATCAACATCCATACAGGTACTTGTATTTTCACGACAGTCAGGGAGTTCTTGAAGTATCAATGTCATCTTTAGCAGAAGCAGATTCGTTTAATGAGCTGATCTTTGCTGCTGAGATTAAAGGACGCGAAACAGTGAAGTGGCTTGTAAAAAATCGTAACGGAATAAAGAATGCCCGTGAGTCATAGTGTGCATACTGTAATTTGATTGTTTGTTTATTACTTGTACACTTTAGAACCAGGGATAACAGTCGAAATTTCAAATAAGGACCGATCCAATGGCATCATCAAGTTTACCATGGAGATGGATGGAGATAAGCATGAAGGAAACACATACCAAGAATATCTGACAGCAGCTCTTACCCTTTTACAAAGTCACCATGAGTTTAACAATATGATGGAGAGTCTTAGCATATAGTTTGTGTCTTACACCTATCAAGTAGGATGAGATATACATGCATTTTAAACTATAAGATTGGTGGGAAAATAGCCCTACTATTCTCCTAAAGTCCTTATAATACTATATCCTAGTTGTATACAGGAGAGGAAGCATTGACACACTTACATCCAGCTTTGCATGCCTTCTACAACTTGAAAAGCACAAGCCTTGATAGAGCTTAGTGAGAGACATCTCTAACAGTTAAACACTAGTCAAAGTCTAGCTTAGAGCTTTTTTTCCAAGAAAATCCAGCCCTCTCACACAATCTATTCTGACTCAAACAAGGGCTGACATGATTGATATATTATCTCTATCCACCACTTCCTGTAACTCTGAATTCTGACTTTCAGCCTCCCTAATAGTACTAAGCTAAATACTATCATTTTGAACAAATATCTGTTCCTCTCAGTTAGAAGTGTATCAGACATATGTTAAAAAAGATAAATGAGTAGTTAATGATACACTCACATTATTATATAGTATATTGTATAGAAAGAGCTGTAGTACAAAAATGTTAGTGTTTTGAACCCTTTAAACTAATAATACTTCAACTTTAGGAGTATATTTAGGGGAAGAATTCTATGAGTAACTACTATCCCTATCAGATGTGTGTTTACAAGTCTCTAACACTTGGTAGTTTAGGTTATTTCTTAAATAGCAATTGTGTCTGTATTACTTACTAAATTTGTTCTAAACAAAGTATTAGTAGGAACAAGTACAATCCTAGATAAGTAACTAAATGAAATACTTTATATATAGTTGTTAGGTTTCTTCAGAGTAACAGGGAATGTAAGAACTGTTATTAACTTACACAATAAAGTAAAACATACTATCTAGAACTATATACTTTAGTAATTCTAGCATCTTTGTGTGTCTAACTATTTATACTCTTTAGAGGACCAGAAGAAATGTTATTAATTCAATAATTATAAATGAGAGCTATACTAAAGAAGTGTATAAGGTAAAATATAGTATTATTGTAATAAGTAGTAAATTAATTAAGTATTAAAGAGCTTTACTTAAATACTGATTACAAACAACTGAAAGTAGTGATGACTATTTTTGGACAAATGTATTTACAGTAAAAGATTAATAACTATACCTTATATACTAACTGTCTCTATTACACACAAAATTAGTGTAAAAGTGTTTATTATACTAAAGAGTGTAAAGACTTGTTTGCTTTTATTATACAAAATGTAGATACATAGTTAGTACAAGCCTTAAGAGTAAGAGATTGAATTTTGCATATTTACACTCTGTAAACTAATTACTCACATACTAAACTAAGTCTAATTATAATAGTTGTATAAAACAAAATGTGTATTAGAAGGTAATATTCTAGTTAAAAGATAAGTGATTTATTAATAAATTAATAACCTGTTAGTAACAGTATAAAAGGGACTTGAAGGCTTAGTAAGAGGACTTAGGCTACAACTATTCTACACAATAAAGATACTAAGACACAAGTACTAGAGTGTAAGTATTAGAATGTGTAAAACCTATAGTTTGAGTACAGGAGTAGAGTAAGACAAGAGGAAGATATATAAAGTAAGTCTAAGAGTATAGGACTATCTAGAGTAGACAAGATTAAACTACTAGACTAGTCTAATCTTATATATGTATATATACTAAACTATACAAAGGTACTCAGAGAATAATAAGTTATAAGAGATAAAGGGAAAAGGGTCAAAAATATACAGACAAAGAATGAAGGACTAAGAAGGAAGGAGTAAAACTCAGAGTGAATAAAAGAATAATAGTAGAGGTTAAGTAGAATAAGAATAAGAGTAATTGTATAAGTCAACCTGTATATAATTAGTATATTATACACTTAAGATATAGAAGTCTTGAGTTCTGTCAGAATTAACAGTTCTAAGAGTATAAAGTATTAGATTGTAATATTACTCTCTCTCTAAAATCAATTGTCCTAATTGACAGATATTTAGCTTAGTAAGCAGTTTGAGTATAGGTTAGAACAATAAGGCTTAAAAGTCTATAAAACAGATCTAATATAAAGTACTAGGATAAAGTCTATAAAAGTCTCAGATTGTATTAGTAGTATGAGTAAGATTTCTAGTAGGTTTTTAAATATACTTTTTAACTAAATACTTAGAACAGTACTAGTAGAGTACTAAACACTAAGCTCTAAGACTGTAAAACACACAAAGACTGACAGAACAAAAGTATCTTTGTTACAGTTAGTAAATAAGAACTAAGAGTACATAATAAGACACACTTTTGTTATAGTTAGTAAACAAGAACTAGTACAACAAAGGTGTAAACATAAGCTTTTAACTAGTATAGCAGGAGTGCCCTAAGTACTCTCTCTTATTGAGGCATCAAGTGAGTGTCTGCCTTATATACTATATAGTGAAGTCCAATAGTCTGAGACATTCTAAGTACAGTAACTCTACATAAGGCAATTGGGGATTTCCTAATCCAGAGCACAATCTAATATAAGCTTTATATACTAGAGAAGAAAGGAAGGTAGCTCAGACTAAAGGAAAGTATAATACATATGAAAAAGGAAACTATATGTATAGCTTAGGATTAGAACTAAGAATGAGTAGTTTAGGACTTAGGACTAGAAACTGTATATATAGTCTAAGACTGTGTGAGAGAGTTTTAGAACAGAACTCTTAAAACTCTCAGAACTGTAGTAAGTTATATTATAGGTTTATAATACCCTTTCTAGTAAACAAGGAATCTAAGCCTTCTATATACTAGTTAAGTATCTACTACATATTCTACCTTGTATTCTAGTTCAGAACTAACAAGTTCTAATAGAGATAGTAAGAGTCTTTATTATAAAGGATAGTTTAGATTATAATACTAAGATAGTAAAACCTTATTAAACACAGAATGTATATACTTCTAAGTTGTTAGAAGTTAAAGTTTGTAAGTAGAAGTACTAACCTTCTTCTTAATAATAAAGAGTCTGAAATACTTGTTGTCTAACTTTTTTCTTAGACAGTCTATAGTTAAATTAGTAGCTTCTAGTATTACTTTGTTACTAAGCTAATAATTCTTAGTTACAAACCTTTTCTAATTATAGTTCTGTTTTATAACTTATACTGTCTACTCTAAAAAGGCTTGTATGTCCTTTCTAGTCTTATACATTTGGTTAGTAAAGTCTGTTACAGATTTAGAACTCTTGTTCTAACTCAGAATAGTCTCTTAATATAAGTACCTACTATAGTTAAGAAAGAACAGAGATTGTCTAGTTATAGAGTGTATTTAATTATTGTGTATGAATTTGGCTAGAGCTAGTCATTCAGTTTAGTTAGCCTATTAATAATTAATAAACATTTAGAGATATAGTTTAATCTACTGATTTACTCACTTTATCTAATTATTAGTTTGTAAGTAGTATATAGTTAATAGATTCTCCTCAATTCTAAGAAGCTTATACAAGTCTTATATAAACTTTGACTTGAATTATAGTCTACAGTTATGTATAAGTTTTTAAGAGAGTCTATATAGTTAGAAAACATAGTCCTAATAAATGTATATTATACTTTTGAAAGTAAGTTCTGTTTAAGTTATAATTATATAGGTTTGTTTAAAGAAGCAATTAACAATTATACAAATAGTATTGTAACTCTAAGACTCAGATAGTTTACTAATCAGGTTTACTAAGACTTCTTTTTAAGAGTGATCCAGGATTTAGTTCTAAGTAATAAGTTCCTGTGTTT